TGCTTCTTTAAATTGTAAACAAAATATATTTTTTTCTTCTCACAATTAACATATGGTAGGTATCTTAGTATCATCATTTTATTTTTCAATTACAGCTGACATACAGTATTATATTTGTTTCAGGTGTACAACATAGTGATTAGGCATTTACATACCTTACAAAGTGATCACCCTGGTAAGTCTAGTACCTATCTGAAATCAGACATAGTTATTACAATATTCTCTATGTTGTACTTGATATCCCTGTGACTTTTTTATAACTCCAATTTGTATATTTTAATCCCTTCCTCCAATCCCCTTCCCATCTGGTGACCCTTTGTAGCTATGACTTTGTTTTTGTTTTATTTGTTCATTTAGTTTGTGTGTGTGTGTGTGTGTTTAAGATTTCACATGTAAGTGAAATCATATGGTATTTGTCTTTCTCTGTCTGACTTATTTCACTTGGCATAATATCCTCCAGATTAAGGGTGGAGAATGTCCAGTCCACAGGCCCTATAAGGCCCACAAAATCATTTGGTCTGGCTCTACCAAGGCATTAGGGGTGAGTTAATTAAAAGCTTTACCAAATATAGTCTATTTTTTAAGTTGATAATTTTGTATGGCCAAAGAATGATGTTATAAATATCCAAATGGTCCTTGGCAGAAAAAGGGTCCCCACCACTGCTCTAAATCCGGCCACGTTGTCTTAAATGGTAAGATTCCATTCTTTTTTATGGTTGAGTGAATGAGACCTGGCCCTCATCAAACTTACATGCTAGTTGAAAACATTACATGGTTATGTAAGTAATTACTACACGAAGTAAAATATGATCTAAGTGTGACTTTAAAGACTCCTTAGTATAAAAATTTTTAATTTTAAAATATATTATTGTAAAGTTAGCCCAAATAAGAAAAAAAATGTTTAATTGTAATTATACTCATGCAGAGGCAGGATTGGCTATAGTTGAAGTATATACTCAATATTATTTATTCTTTGGTGCTGTATTAGTTCCCCATTGTTGTTGTTACAGATTACCAGAAACTTAGTGCTTAAAACAATACACATCTATAATAATAAAAGCATAATATGCTAATTAGACTGGACATCCTTCCATACGTCCTTCCGGATGACCTTCTGGATGAAGCCAGGTCTGCGAGGGAAGCCTGCGTCCCAGGTGCCAGAGGGAAGCCAGTGTTGGCAGCTGGGGGAAGGAAGGCCTACTCTTGCATGAATTTTGTGCATCAGGCCTCTAGTTTATTATAACCTTATAATTCTGGAGCCAGAATTAACATGAGTTTTATGGGCTAAAATCAAGGTGTTGACAGGATTAAGTTCCATGGGAAAATCTGTTGCCTTTTCCAACTTCTAGAGGTTGGCATTCCAAGTCCCCCTTCCAGTAGTGCCATCACTCCATCCTCTGTTTCTGACATCTGACTTTCTTGGCCTCCCTCCTTCCCTTAGAAAGGCCCTTTGGATTACACTGGGTCCACTTGAATAATTTCCCCTTGGTAAGAATCTTAATCACATCAGCAAAGTCCTTTTTGCCATGTAAGGTCATATATTCATAGGTTCTGGGCATTAAGATCTGAACATCTTGGGGTACAGTGGTGCATTATTCTTCTTACCCAGATGCCTTCTCATTCCCTCCATTTAATTCCACCCTACTTTTCCTTTATGCTACCTCCTGGACTTCAAAGACATCAGTACTGTGGTGGTACTCAACCAGAAGCACAAAATAATACTATGTTCTTGACCTTTCTTAGCTTCCCTCTTGTCCTCTACAGAACTTGATGGTCCTCATTCTAAGAAGTACAGCCTACTGTTTCAAAATTTTTTCATATTATTATAGTAACTAGAGGTCCGGTGCACGAAATTAGTAAACGGGGGAGTCCCTCAGCCCGGCCTGCACCCTCTTGCAATCTGAGACCTTTTGGGGGATATCTGACTGCTGGTTTAGGCCCGATCCCACAGGAATCTCAGATCAGGCCTAAACCAGCAGTCGGACATCCCTCTCGCAATCCAGGACCACTGACTCATAACTGCTCACCAGCCTGCCTGATCGCCCCTAACCACTCGCCTGCCTGCCTGATTGCCCCTAACCAACTCTGCCTGCCTGCCTGATCGCTCCTAACCACTCACTGGGGGGAGGGGCTGTGGTGTTCTGGTCTCTAGTCATTCTGGTCATTCCAGAATGACTGTTTTGGTCACTGAGCTTTTATTATATGGGGTAACACTTAACATGAGATCTACCCTCTTAGCAAAATTTTAAGTATACAATACATCAATGTTGACTAGAGATACAATGTTGTACAGGAGATCTCCAAAGTTTATTCATCTAGTTTAACTGAAACTTTATGCTGACTGAACAGTAACTCCCCATATCCTTTTTCCCCAGCCCCTGGCAACTAACTTTTGCAGTCTTTGATTCTATGAATTTGACTTTTTTAATACTCCATGCAAGTGAAATCATTTGGTATTTGTGTTTTTGTGACTGGCTTATTTCACTCAGTAAAATGTCCTCAGGATTAGTACAGTCATCTATTATCCTCATTTTACAAATGAAGAATCTGAAGCACAGAGAGATTGGGTAATTTATTCAAGTAACATTACCAATCAAACATAGATAGGAAGTCTAGTTCTTAATGTAAGGAGATGGCTGGCAACTAAGCAAGTGGTCAATATATGGAGATAATAACATACCAGGTACTTGTTTTATATTACTGTCCCCCTCCATTAGATTGTGAGCTCCACAATGGTAGGAACTTTTTATAGGCTGAGTAAGTATCTTATTCATCTATTAAACATTTACTAAATATTTCAACTGATTTAAGTCCTCAATTATTGCTCACTGAATTATATAAAATTTAAACAAACAAAAATAATCTTCTTACAGTACATGGAGGAAACATTCAGAGAGCGAATTTTGCTGATATGTTACTTAAAGTAAATTACCATAAGGAATTAAATTATCTTAAGCCAACTGAAATGCAGATTTCTGCTATAGATATTTTTAAATTTTGTCAAATTAATCTTCATGATATTGGACTATTTTAGGACTAGTTTCATGTCTGCCTGGAAGGGATAAATTAACATTATCTATGCCAAGAAGGGATAAATTAACATTAAAAAAAGAAAAACCAAAAGACTACAGGTCTAATAAGAATTTATTAAATACATGTAAGAACAGTGAAGTCTAAATGCTGTCCCTGAGGTTTTAAGATATAAAATCCAAAGAGATGACGAGGTATTCATATTCATACTAACATAAAACCAAAGAATCTCAAGTCCTTAGAGTTTCAAAAGATCTTACAGATTTTAAAGAAATTAAAGCCTCCTTCATAGCATTTATTTCCAAAAGAAGAAGTTTTAATAGGAATCAAAAGGGGCTCTGTTGTCAACATTGGCCATTTTAAAGTTTAAAATATTATTAATTTCTTTAATGATTTAATATAGATATTTTCATTTGTTTTACTGCTCACTTATACTGAGCCAGATCTCCAAACTACAAAAGTGTAGCACATATGATAAAGAGTTAAAGAATCAAGTATTACGGGCTAATAATGATTATGCAAACATAACTAGACAGTATTTAAGTTTCTTAATATAAAAACTATAGAAAAAAATCATGGTTCTAAAGAGAGAGTTTTGGTTTACCAAAAGCCTAAAAACATTAAAATATCAATGCTTTCATGATTAAATCCTCCTACTTTTAAGAGTGATTATAAATTATATTAGTCTCCCATTACCTATTTATAAAATAATCTATTCCTCCTTTAAAAGTGCTACAGGGTAGAATATTCATCTTTTAAATCAAAGTCAATAAAAATATTTTCTAAAATATATTTTATTGATTTTTTACAGAGAGGAAGGGAATGGGATAGAGAGTTAACCAGCTGCCTCCTGCACGCTTCCTACTGGGGATGTACCCGCAACCAAGTACATGCCCTTGACCAGAATCGAACCTGGGACCCTTGAATTCGCAAACTGATGCTCTATCCACTGAGCCAAACTGGTTAGGGCAATAAAAACATTTTTTGAGAAATTAATGTGCTATAAGCTGAAGTAGAAAAATATGCTTTTTCACAGCTTGAAAATTTCACAAGAGAAAAAAAGGTCAAAATATAAAATTGAAAAATTTTGAATATATTTTGTACTTAAAACAAATTTGTGTTTTAACTAATTTGTGGTGCTTTATTGTATGCAATTAAATTTTAAAATAACAACTACCATGGTAAACCACGGTTTAAAAACTGTAATTTTAAATTTAACCCAAGAAGTGTATCTTATTTGATCAAATAGAAAGTCATTATTAAACATGTAAGAAAATAAAAACATGTTTTTGAACTCATATTTTAAAGTGTGATATAGGAACAGATAAAAAGGAAGTTATTAAAAGTAGAAAATAGATAAAATGTATAGTTAGCATCCTATTTCCTCTAGTTACCTCCTACAGTCAATTTGTTTAAAGAATCTATAACCTGATAATTTATGTTGCCACAGTTATTTAGAGTTTTACTACTACATGTAGAAAAGTAGTCTATCAATAATAACATCTTGAGTTTATAGGTAAAAGATTATAATTTTATGTTCACAATAAAAAACACTCTTATTTGGGGATGAATTTTGTTTCAAAAGATATCTACATGTGAGAAAAAAGATAATTCAGAATAAAAGAGTTATTGTAGTGAAAAGTGATTTTCAAATAAAATAATCAATTTGATATATTTAAACTATGGTTGCTATGTCATATATGCCTGTGTCTAGGTATGACATAATTTAGAATCCCACAAATAATTTCAATGATTTTACATTAAAAATTATGCTTTTTTGAAAAAGAATCTCATTTTAATCAAATACATAATTATAATAAATGTCCTCTACATAAACTATTTTAAAGATGACAGGTGACTCATTTTTCTCTCTCTCCACATGGCCATCTAAAGCCATACCATAGAAATAACTGACATTTCACCACAGAACAGTATCTAGATTATATATTTTACCTATCTAGTTTTACAAAATGTTTAGATATTGTAGGGCTTAAAAACATGAAACTGTTCCAAACTTTTGAGTTCTAAATCTAGGATTAATCTTGGATTTCTGGGAAAAAACTTGGATGGTAACACATTCAACATACTTTTTTGATCTAGTAACTTCTCCATGGCATAGAGTCATTTGCCTGCTTTTAGCACCCTCTGCAGGTGAACCAATATTATACATGGCTTACATGCCACTGAAAAGCAAAATAGAGCCTCTGAGACAGGGTACAATAAAGGTGATTAAATTGTGAAGAAATAAAAAAAATTATACTTTCTTATTTTTGTTCAGGGAAGACAGATATTGTTTATAAGTTAATTACCCAATTTACTAAAAACAACAACAAAAACAACTGTGTGTGTGTGTGTGTGTTTCAAAGATAAAATGCTACTCATCATGACCATGCTACTGACATTTAGGAAAAAATAAAATGCAAGAATATTCAAATGATTAATAACTTGAAAAACAAATTGAAACTGTCAACTTACCATCTTTGTTGGACAGCAGACACACCAGGCCATTGAGACATGTGTCAGTGACTTCTAAGATGTTTGTTGCACATCTGCCTATAGTTTGAATAGTGGCTGCTGCAAATTGCTTATCCTGGCTTTTCACATAAGTCTAAAAATATTATTTCAATTAGTTTACACACTGGTACTATATCAAGTGAACAAAACAATGCCTTTCATTTGGTTTGTCAATACAAAAATTGCAGCATACATAATCTCATCTATAAGTACAATGGAAGAACTAACTGATGACTTAGCTAAATTTAATTTCCCTTTTACTTAAAGAATGTGCCTATAAAAGAGGTACATTTTCAAGCCAGATTCATTCACTTGTGGCTACAGTGGCTTACGACTCCAAAACAGACAGTGGGGAGCAGAGATAACAATAACCCAAAGATAGCAAATAGTTTAAGTGCAAGGCTGAAAGATAGGATGAGAACTCTCTCTTTGGAGGTTTCAGTTCATTTAACCAGCAGCATCTGTGAATCTATGAAAAAAAGGGTTGATTTTTCAGAAACACTAAATCCAAAAATTGGGAGAAGAGGAAGAAAAAAACCAATATGCTTCCAAAAATATTTTACTTTTAAAATAGTTTCTGAATAGTAGTAACACCAAAATAGTTACCGTGAACAACATTTCAATAAAGACTTTATAAATACTCAGTTTACAACAAAACAAAATATCACACTTTTAATAAATAGATTTTCTTTAAAATAATTTTTAAAGATACATTGTAAATAAATATTTATACAAACTTAAAAATAAATAATTCAATTATTTAACAACAGAAAGTTAAGAGATTTTTACAAAATTTATGATAGCCCTAAAGAATTTCACTTGGTTAAACTTTCCTAATTTAAAAACTGTTTTTATTCTTTACAGAAATGAAAGCACTTTTAACATGCACATTTATATATATGATATATATAATAAATTTTAAATTCCAATATTCAACTGAAATCCCAAGCTCAAATGAGTTCATGCTGTAGATTTAACACTATGGTTATCTAACATGGAAAATAGAATAATACATTTAAATGGCGCCTAAATGACAAATGGAGGAGAAAAATCTAAGTATACCTAAAAACATACGAACTTAGTGAAAATGGTAGCAAGAACATGATTAATTGTTGAAGAAATAGATTAAACAAAAAAGTCTCTTAGTTCCACTTAGGAAAGATCAATTATATTTAAAAACTGTTACCCAGTTGGTTATCTAATTTCCTCAACTAAAAATAAGGGTCTTTAGAAAAATTCACTATTTTACTCAAAAAAATTATAAGTAAACATACCTATGAACATAACAAATACAAAAATAAGATACAAAGTTAAAAAATGATAAAATGGATACTAAAGTAATAATATATTAAACAATGGACCTTCTTAAACATCTAATATTATATCACCAATATTCTGAAACAGGTCCAATGTGTCACCTTAATACAACTAACAGCATAAAATTACCCCATCCCAAATGACTGTTTTATTTAAACAATTATATATTTCGAAGTTCAGAAAGATGTATATTTATATTTAACTTTAAACTGAACAAATGTTAAGAATTAGCACTGTATACAAACCTGAAATTCTCGAAGAAGAGTTGATATGTTGGCTTCATTTGCCAAGTTTGTCAAAATTTCAAGCTATAGTAGAAAAAAGACGAAGTAAACATTTTGAAACAAACTAAAAAGATGAATTTAATAGAGGCTAGGCATTTAATAGAAAGGTAATTTGTGTTTTTAAAAGAAGCCACAGCTACAAATGTTGTGAAGCATTACACCCTTCAAGTGAATTTTGTCTCCCTACATCTGCATATAGAGAATAGATATTTACAGAGTGCTTAAAAAGTAATTACAAAAAAGAGAATCAAACATTTTCCCTAATTGTTTGTCCCAACTTTACAATTTATATCCAATTAACCTAAACAATTTAAGATAGTTTGACTTCTTTTATTAAGAAAATTAGAAAACTACTGCCCTCCACGTAGTATCTCTGTGTTCCAGATTGTCTTACTGTGTTTCCTTCATTCTACCATCCCAAATTCTTAGACATTTTAATTATTCTGGATTTAGAGTTACAAGAAATATGCAATTAAAAGCCCATTTCCAATAAGCTCACTAAAAAGATGTTTTTACTCATAAAAAGTATCCAATTAATCTGAAGGAAAGCGTGAAAAAGGAAAAAAGCAACAGAGAACAAATGGGACAAAGAGAAAACACACAAGATATAGACATAAACACATTTATATCAATAATAATATTAAAAGTAAGTGGTCCAAGCATTACAATTAAAAGGCACAAATTGTAGAAGTTCTTTATATATTCTAAGTACCAGTCATTTTTCAGATATATGTATGGGTGTATTTTCTCCCAGATTATGGCTAGACTTTTCATTTTATTTTGATGAGGACATTTAATTTTTCTGTACAATTTAAAAAACAATCTCAACATATAAAAAAGGTAAAAATAACTATTTTTGATCTGAAACATTTGAGACCATAGTTGTCAATTTGATATTGCATTGTCCCCAAATACTATGCATATTTCCTACAAACAAGGACATGTCTTATAGACCACAATACAACCAAGAAAATCAAGACATTTACACTGATCATCACATCAATGCAACTGTCACTCTCTAAGTTTCACCAGTTACCTCAAATATCCAGTTCAATATCACACATTGTATTTGGATGTGTCTTAGATTTTCTTATGATTAGACTCAGTTTCCATGTGAATAACCAATAATTCTAATATTTATAGTCCACCCTTTCCGCATTGGTTTGTAATGTCTCCTCTATTACACAGTACACTTTCATATACACTGATCTATTTCCAGGTTTTAATTCTATTCCACTTCTTTTTCTGTTTTAATATCACATTGTTTTAATCCATATAGTGCTATATCCAAACTACACTCTATACCAGTGATGGCGAACCTTTTGAGCTCAGCGTGTCAGCATTTTGAAAAACCCTAACTTAACTCTGGTGCTGTGTCACATATAGAAATTTTTTGAAATTTGCAACCATAGTAAATGAAAGATTTATATTTTTTATATTTATTTTATATATTGAAATGCCATTTCACAAAGAAAAATCAACCAAAAAAATGAGTTCGCGTGTAACCTCTGACACGTGCGTCATAGGTTCGCCATCACTGCTCTATACTATAGTTATCATTCCCTCAAAACAACTCTTATAATCCCTTGTGTTAGCATAAACTGTGCCCATCTCCTACTTGCAACTCTACAACCTCCCAATCAACCTACTAACCAACAACAAAATTCCCAAAAATGTTATTATTTTAAAATCCACTCAAACATCATCTTTTTCACAAGTCTTTTCTAAATCTTTCAGAGAAGAAGACTGTTTTTTACAGCACTCAATTAAACTCTCCATAATATCACATACTGTTAAAATTGTCTATTTACACATCTGTTTCATTCAGCATACTGTGAGTTATTCAGGGTGTGGGCAGCATGTTTTCACTTTGTATTATTAAGATGTAGCACAGTAACTAGTATATAATAATGTAGTTTAGAAAGTTTAAAAAAAATCCCTAAATGATCTGTTTTTTTAAAAAACAGATTTCCATTTTACAGATGCTAGAAGCTATAGCAGTATCTTCAAAGAAAACACATATTAGAATATCTGAAAAATAAGAGCATGCCTACCTTAAGTGTCTTGATCATAGTTGGATCAGTTGACCTAACATAGAAACTCTTCAAGTAAGGTTCAAACATACCCTAAATGACAAAAATAAACATATGAATACATTTAATGGTACTAATGCATTCATTTCTCTCTTAAATTATGTACTCACAATGAACATACCTTTCTTTGAATTGACATAGTTGCTATATTCTGTAGGACAATATACTGCACCTCCCTAGAAATTAAACAAGAATTTTCACTGGGTATATTTTCCAATGAAATATCTTTAAGTACATTAAAGAAAAGGAATTAGTGATGTTTCATATTAAATGGAACTCAAATATAATATCAAAAAGTTTTCAGTAAATTTTAGATATTTATGCCTTATTTTAAAGTACATTT